GTATTTTCTCGGCTTTAGCGACTGTAGTTTAGGGGTTCCTGTTTATGATTCAGACCCCGTTCTTCCCGGGGGGACTCTAACTGGCCGTTTCAATGTCCCTCTGGTGCCAGTGCCCGTGCGCACCCAGCCCACCCTCTTGAGCCTCCACCGCAATTCTCACCCGTTGGGATGTGTGAGAGTCGAATCCACTGTCCGCGGCAGCAAGGCTCCTCTCCCACTATCGCTCCACTGCTTTCCAGGTGATTACTCCATTATTTAGTTGCAATTCCAGTTTGGTTTTGGGAGGAGGTCAGCGTGACTCCCTTTCACTCATCCGCCATGTTTTTCAACCCAAAGTATTGATTTTAATAGAGTTCAAGACTTCAGTACTCAAGCTAGAGCTCAAAGTCTGCCAATGGACTTCTCTTAGGTCTAACAGACATACCTCATCCAAAGTCCCCTTTGTAAACTTCAAGGCATTTTTCTTGAGCCTATCACTCAAAACAATATCCAGTCACAGAATATCAGAGGAAGCATTTCAAATAGAGAAATCAGTGAAATAAGATGGTCACATCATGTGACTCAGAGCCTTTCAAATCCCAAATAGAGTAATAGGCCACCGCAATTTGCCTGGAAAAGTCCTAATTTTAAAAGTGGAAGTCGAGGGAAACCCTTTAGTTCTCGGTAAGCCCAGTTGGTTAGTCACCCCAAAGCCATTCTCATTATCCCAGTAATATAGGCAACAGAATTTTAAAGGAGGATGCAATAAAGAACAGAACCTGCATCTTTAGGCCCTGCTGGCAACATAGTTTTGAACTCTGGCCCTGACCCTTCTTTATTGGCCTGTGAATTTTGGTATGCTACTTTACCTCTGTGAGCCTCTGGGAAATTCCGATGAGATACAGAGGGTCATATTCAACATGGTTTAAGATCAACTGCATTGTGGGTGCAATTCATATCTAGTCAACAGTAACCTTGAAAATCCTTCAAATACAAAACCAGATACAGTTCTAGTGCATGGCTTGTTGTGATCAGCATTGAAGATAATTTTACCAGGTTCTTTAATTCTTCATTAATTATTCTTAATGAATTGCTCACTTTCTTCTATCACCATTCTTATACACCACCAGGAACAATGGTTTCACTTTTTGAATCAAACCTTTACAGTCACTCATAGTTTTTCCAAAGTTTTCAACTGTCATGGGCTGCTGGTTTCAGGCACTACTGTGCCTTCTGGCACTTCTGGGTGCATGCTCCTCTGGTAGTCTAGTGGGCCATTTTTCGCATTATATGAATTCTCTTTTTCTAAGAACACTTGACAGAATTCTTGCAAGGTAAATGTGCATATGATGTGACTCCTCTGTGAAGAAGTCAAAGCCTCCAAAATCTTTTTGTGTTTGAGGTGTCCGCTCCCAAGTTTCCCCTCTCAAGAGAGTGTGTTGAGAGTTCACAGCTCGGTTCAGAACTCTGGAAGTGGTCCCATTTTGATGGCTCTTTCACAGACACTGTTCCAGAAGTCTGCCCAGGCCTGCCCCATCAGGCCTATCATTTCATACACAGATCACGAATGGCATGCCAGAGGTCAGCTGGGTGGCAGAGAGAGCAGTTCAGCTCAATCTGATTGGATCTAAAGTGTCAAGATCTGCTCTGAGGAACTGTAGGGTTCTAGAACTTAGGTCTGATAATGACTTAAGGCAAGAACATTACACCCCTCCCCTTATCATCCAATGGGAGTAGGTCGGAATTGAGTATGAGGACAGCGGTACTACTTGCTGGGAAAACATAAGGTGTTCAGAGCTTTCCAAAGGAGTACCTTGCCAATGCCATGACTTCAGATTTGTTTGTTTTTTCAATTTTTATGTACTCTTTAGGATATTTCCCAGTGATGCTTCTTAATAAAAGGCAAAACCTTTGTGTCAGCTGAAGCAGAGATTCCCTTACAGGTGCGACAGCAAAAAACCATAAAATTTAAATGCCCAAAGGAATGGCTAAGAAAATTATGATATATCCTTATATTATAGTACTATGCAGTCAATAAAAAGAACAAGGTGGAAGTATTTGTTCTAACATAAAATTCCTGAGGCATATTCAGTGAAAAAGAAAAAAAAAACAAAGAGCATAAGAAGAACATAAATCTTACTATTTATAAAAAGGGGGGGAGGAGCCATGGAGATAAGGACATACGGATAGGTTTGTGTTTGTATTTGTATTGCATACCTATTAGCAGTGGTTGCCTCTGTGAAGGGAATTAGGAATAGAAGGAACACTTGCAGTCATGTCCCTTTGTAGTTTGAATTTTTTTACACATGCTTGTATTAAACTTAAAAAAAAATATGAAATTCCAATCACTAGGAAACTAAAAACAAAAATACCCCACTAGTATCTTACCTGTATTAAAACAAAGTGGTAGTAGAATTCCTTGCTATTTGTCTTCTCTTTTCTCTCTTTCCCTTCCCTTCCCTTCCCTTCCCTTCCCTTCCCTTCCCTTCCCTTTCCTTCTCTTCCTTTCCCCTCCCTTCTCTTCCTTTCCTTCCCTTCCCTTTCTTCATTTTGTTTCTTTTCTGGCAAAAGACTTCTGCAGTCATTAAGTAAAATAGTTTCTATTTGAGTTGGACCATTTCCCACATACTAGTGAAAGAAATGTTTCAATGTTCTTTCAAAGATAAGTATAAATCCATTAATGACAGTGCCTAGATTGGAACTTAGAGTTACAATGGCCTTGCTCATTTTATATCATCCAACAGAAATTTTCACCTGACTCTAAGAAAGAGAATGTGTAATAAAGGCCAAAGAGGAAAATAACTTCATAAAAACTGTCAAATTTCTATGAGTAGGTAAGGTTAAGCCAATTATTTAAAAACCTACAGGGTCCAGAATTTACAGTCAGAGAAAACATGAGTCAGGATTACATCTGGGCAATCAGAACTGGGTGAGATTTAAGTTTTTCTGTGGGGAAAAGAGAAGTGGCAGTTTACGTCGATCCTTCATTCATTCTACAAGCCTTAGTGAGCCCTTACTGAGCTGATGGCAGGCACAGTGCAAGGTGTAGGGGAGAGAATGGAGGCACAGTTGTCACTTTTCCTTGCCCAGAGCCCATCTCCCCCTCTCCCGGTAATATCTTGATTTTCCTTTGGGAAAGCACTCATTCTCTGCTCTTGGCTCCCTTGGTTCCTTCGGAGAGGCTAGCCTTGCACACTGTCCCCAGGACCATCACCAAGCACAAGCGCCGGAGGGGTACTTGATGTATTCTAAGTTCCTTGCCATGGTGCTATGCATGGGATCAAAGGAAAAGCTGCCTGGGACTCCCGTGGAATTATCAAGAAGATGAAGATCTCCCCAAGTGGAGGGTGAAGCTATGAGAACGTGAGGCTGTCAGTAATCTGACAAGGAGGCCAACAGAAACAAAGTAGAGTTGAGAGAGGCAGATTCTGGGTACCCTTATTTGAATACTAGATCGGAAATAGATCTACCCTTGGATTTTTTAAGTGCTAAGAAGTAATAGAATTTCTTTTTCTTTCTCTCTCTCTTTTTTTTTTTTGCTTAAGTCAATTTGAGTAATATATTTGTCACTTGAAACCAGGATGCTCCTGACAAATAGATGAGATAAAAGATTGTTCCTCCCTCTAAGGCACTGCAGTCCTTGGGGAGAAGTGGACACACAACTGAGAATTAGTTACCTTATAATGGGTGCTGTGACAAGGTGTGTACCTGCTGTGCTGGGAACAGAAAAGGCGTAGACAACGTGCTAAGACATCTTAGAGCTGTAAATAATTTTAGAGTTTATCTGAACTAATCCTCTCATGCAAATAGAAACTGAAGCCCTGACTCATCCCAGAGGTGCAAAGTGGCTGAGAATGGTTCCCAACTGCATTCCCACCTTCGGTGTGAAAATAACTTTTAAATTTTTTCCTTATAAGCAAATATTATGCATATTAAATGTAGAAAGTTTAGAAAATAAAAGGAAGGCCAAATTTAGAAAAGAGGGGGGGGGGCCCCCTCAAAAATGGGATTTGTTTAAAAAAAGTTATGTATTTATTTTTACATATTTAACTTTACACGTTAAACTTTAGTCACCTTCAAAGCACTCTCCATTCGATGTAATACACCTATCAAGATGTTTTTTCCACTGCTCCAAACAGTTTTTGAACTTGTCAATTTTGATGCCTTCCAACGTTTCTATTTTTGTTTCACCTTTTCCACATCAGCAAAATGTTTCCATTTGAGAACTTTTTTCATCTGGAGAAACAAAAAAAAAGTCGCTTGGGTGAATAGGGAGGGTGGGGCATAGAGGTCATGCCATTTTTGGTCAAAAATTGCTGAACACTCAGCATGGTATGGTCAGGTGTGCTCGTAAATTGCCCATCATGAAATGGGCAAATGGGTTGAGTCTTCAAAAAAACATTCACTGAAGCCAAACTCAGCCTCTCTCAACAACTCCAGCTGGTCCACTGATACAGATGGGTTCCTAGAACACTCACCTAGTGGGGAAAGCCTGTACTATAAACAGTCCATCCTCTAGAAGATAATTTCGGTTTTTGGGGTCCCACCTTGTATAAGAAAAGTCAAAGAATAAAATAAGAATCCCTCAATGCTCACTCATCAAAACACTAATCAGATCATGCCCTGTCCTTGCCCAAACTTTTTCATGGCTCCCTGGTGCTTCCTGACTACAATTCTTTATGCAGGTATTCAAATACCTTAAGATATGACTCCTAAGCCATATATCAAACGTTATCTCCCCCTATTCACCAGGCCCAGTGCATCTAATGCTGTAGACCTGGCCACCCTTCACTGAGGGAACCCCCACATGAGTCCTTCTATGTTTTTGCCCACATGCTCCCATTTTCAAGAACGGCATTCTCCCCCATCTCTACCTGTTGAAACCATTTCTCAACGCTCAACAGCCAATCCCTCTGCAGAGCTTTCCAAGCTCATCCCAGCAAATCTCTCTGGTTTCGGTTATAGTTGACTGCAAGGTGCCAAAGGCCCCTGTGGGCTCCTTGAAGGCAGAAACATGTCTCGTGCTCACTTCGGCAGCACATACACTAAAACTGGAATGATACAGAGAAGGTGAGCATGGCTCCTGTGCAAGGATGACACTCAAACTTATGAAGCAGAAACATGTCTCACTGAGCTTCCTCTCATCAACCACGCCATGCCTTGCACATTTACATCACCCATTAAATATTTGTGTGATAGTATTTTTCATGCATTAAACTTGTGTGAAATGGCACATTTACTAGTCTAGCTGGACTGTGTTTAGTTGAGTTAGTATAGTTAGTATGATATATACTAACTCATTATGTTACTATACAGCAGTCCCCCCTTATCTGTGATCTCACTTTCTGCAGTTCTCAGTTACCCATGGTCAGCTGCAGTGCACAAATATTCAATGGAAAATTCCAAAAATAAACAATTCATAACTTATAAATTACACACTCTTCTGAGAAGTGTGATGAAATCTCGAGTCTTCCTGCTCCACCTTGACCAGGATGTGAATAATTCCTTTGTCCAGTGTATCCATGCTGCATATACTACCTGCCTGCTCGTCACCTAGTTGCTGTTGTCGTTATTAGACTGACTATCATGGTATTACAGTGTTTATGTCCAAGCGACTTTTATTTTACTTAATAATGTCTCACTCATTTCATCACGTACATGATGTATCATCTGCTCGTTTTTGTTATTAGTTATTATTGTTAATCTCTTACTGTGCCTAATTCATAAATTGAACATTATCATAGGTATGTACGTATAGGAAAAACCATAGTATTCATAGGGTTTGGTTCTATCCCAGATTCAGGCATCCCCTGGGGGTCTGTGGAAAGGGAGGAACTAATGCATTAGCCATTCTGTTCTTAATCCCAGCCTTCCTCAGGAATCGAAAAGAGGCCCTTGGAAGGCGGGATGGCATCTGCAATCAACTTCAGTTTGAAATATAGCCTTTCAGCACTTATTGACAGAGTAGAATTCTACATTATGCTTAGAGACATTCTGGAAACTGATGTGAAATTGAACATTATAGTTTATTTCAAGGAAACATGAATAAGGCTTGTCCTAAAAAAAAAAAATTGGACTATATACACGTTTATGGTTTCCCCTCACGCTCTTCCAACACACACAGAAATCTGTGTGTCAAGTGCAATCCTTTCCATACCAAAACCCCATGAAATGAATCTCTAGTGTGCAACTGGCAAAACAATTTTGAAAAGAGCTTTAGAACAGCTTGACTTGGTGCTGGGACCTCAGGACAAGATGAACCAAGAGAGCCTTGTCCAACTGTTAAATTGCTTTTTATGCACCTCACTCTGCCAGAAGCAGCTGAAGAATGTTGCTCAGTGTGTTTCTTTACACACTGTGGATACTTGGTATGAGGTTGACATCCAACAGTTGCCAATAAATAAATCTTCACTACCAAAGAAAAGAAAAATCTCCACTACATTTCCTAGTCTGTCTTACAATGTTTGATGTGCAGAGATACAGGTATATTCAGAATGTATGGGTTTTTTAAACAAACAAGAGCTGTCATTTAAAACCGTTCTAAAGAGTGTCCATCTGCATCTCAATGAGAAGCCCAAGAACCTCTGTCATGGGTCAGGGCACTCGCGGCCTCTCGCTGGTCGGTCTTTGAGCTGGATGCTGGGATATGGAGAAGGATCACACTCATGACGGCCCTCACGGCACTGACGGTGCTGTGGGAAAGGCAAACCTCCAAAATAAACACCTTAATTCTGTGTAATCAGTGCATTCTGGGTATCACATGGAGATAACAGAAAAGGAAGCTCTGGGGACTCTGGGGCTGAGCAAATAGAATAGACGTGTGACATGTGAGTTGGATTTGGCCAGATAAACAAGACTTTGAAAGTGGATGGGGGACAAAGCGCAGCCCAGGCAGATGGAGAGGTATGTACAGAGGCACAGCAGCATGAAAAAACCTGCTCGGGGTAGGGAATTACAAGTGCTTCAGGGGATTACCACGGAAACATAAAGTGGGTGGCAGGGGCGAGGCGGGGGTGAGGCTGGTGCTGAGGTTACAAAAGATGTGGCTAGTGTTGTGGGCCAGAAGCTTCAGCTCTGCTCCAACAGTAACGGGGCCAGTGGAAGGCGTGAGCCATTAGTAGCACAGCCGGATTTGTACTTTAAAATGCCTCTGCATGGGAGAGTAACCGTCGCTGTTGGATAGCTTTGAATTGACTTTCCGGATCCACTTTCTCCCTGCTCGGTGCCCAAGAGGCTGACCTCGGCAGATGGCAACCATGGGCTTCCTTTCCCCCAGCCCGCTTGCACGTGGCAGGCTCTGGCAGGAAACCAAAGGGCAGGAAGAGCAGGTTAGACAGAACCAATAGGATAGAGTGTTTATGTAGTTATATACACATATATGAGTGTTTATGTATTTATATACACATATATGTATGCATGTACATAATATATGTATGTAGTTCTATATATGTACAAATATGGATATATGTATGTAAAAGAGAGAGAGAGAGAGATTTTAAGGAATAACCTTATTTAATTGTGCGGGTTCCAAATCTGCAGGACAAGCTGGCAGGTGAGAGACCCAGGGAGAGTTGTTGAGATCTTGAATCCAAAGGCAGTCTCGAGGCAGAATTCCTTCCTCCTCAGGAGACCTCAGTCTTTTTACCTCTTAAAGCCTTCAACTGATTGGATAAGGCCTACCCAAAGTATGAAGGGTAACCGGCCTCACTTAAAGTTCACTGATTTAAATGTTCATGACACTAAAAAATACTTTCATAGCAACATCGAGCCTGCTGTTTGACCAAAAACTGGGTACCATGGCCTAGACAAGTTGATGTATAAAATTAACCATGACAGGTACTTATTGCCTTCACTCCCTCACTGCCAGGCTGTGAGTTGGCACTGGCTGCCGCCCTTTCTGTTGGCTGGCATTGACCTTCAGCTACAGCTCTCTCCTTGACTTCAGACACAGGAGTGGTACCAGCACCCTGCCATTGCCAGCCCCCCGATTCTCTTAACCCTGTCCACAACTTCGCAAATAGCCCCTTGGGGTGTCATTAGACTCTCCTCAATGACACCACTTCAACATTGTATTTCTTTGTTGTCAGGATTCTGACAGTGACTCTGTGTCATCTTATGGATCATAATCTTAAAAAAAACAACAAAGAAAACAATGCATGAGCCAATCAGACATAAATCTTCAGTGAAGTGTAAACCCCACAGAGTGTAAATCATTGTTTTGTTCAGTGATCTGTGTGCCTGTTACATAGTAGATGCTCAATAAATTTTCGTTGAATGAATGAACAAATGTACCTTCAGCTTTAGGAAAACAAACTTTAAAAGTTCATTGAGAAGTCATATGTGAATCCTTGGCTAGAAGCCCCTAAAGAGAATAATATGTTTAGCGGGGATAGCATGTTCTAAAAATGAAAATACTAAAAATAAAACTGTAGATAAATTCAGTAAGAATAAAATCGATTTTCTTGATAGTTCTAAAGGAAAAAAAAAGTAACTACATAAGTAGTTTTCTGATGAGGAGACATATTTGAAAAAACATGAACGGCAGAAACCTAAAGAGGCAAGATGTGTTGCTTAATTAAGGACAAATCCCAGACTGACATACCCTCATGTGAAAAGTACCAGGGAGACTATGACCCAGATTGTGTGGAAATACTAAAGCAGACAGAAGGAACCCGTCAGCACAATGCGGGAACAAGAGTGAGAACAAGGGAGGGCTAAAGAGTGGGGTGGTGGCGACAAAATCATCCAACTACCATTTTGCAATTCTCTTTTCAACAAGTCTTCAAATGATGTATGAAGGGTACTCACTATGAAGAGGGGAACAATGCTCCAGGGAGTCAGGAAAACGGCGGCCACTTAGCTGTTTAAAGGAACTCATTCTCTCACCTCCAGACAACTTCCAGAGCAAGGCTGAAAGAAACGGCAGATGTGATTTCAGAGATGTTACTGGTCATGAATTTCACCTCAGGGGTCTTCAAATACTGTCTCTCTGCCTGGAAGAGCATATGGGCCTTGTTAACTACCTGACCTTACCAGTCCGAGACCACATCTCCCCTGGGAAGTCCTTGTGAATCCTCAAGACTGCTCAGGGCCTTCCCTCACTGCCAGGCTGTGAGTTGGCACTGGCTGCCGCCCTTTCTGTTGGCTGGCATTGACCTTCAGCTACAGCTCTCTCCTTGACTTCAGACACAGGAGTGGTACCAGCACCCTGCCATTGCCAGCCCCCGATTCTTTTGTGAAGTCCCACAAGGACTTCAGACACAGGAGTGGCACCCTGAGGGGAATGAATCATGCTGAAACCTGGAAAAACAACCCCAAGGCTCCACTGCCTGCCTCCACAAAAGCCAGATTTGTGAGACAGGTGCTAGCAAGAAGAAAAGTGGTTTTATCTCAGGTGCCAGCAACCGGAGAAGATGGCAGGCTCATGCCTCAAAAACCATCTTGACGACTCATGCAGGCAGAGGTTTTTATAAGGAAAGAGAGGGAAAGCAGCAAGGAGAGGGGTTGAAAAGTTCTGTATGTACAGGCTAGCAGAGTTCTACTGATAAGGACCTCGAAGCTGGTCTGGTGATGGTCTGGTGTGCACCATACTGGTTTTTGTCATCTCGGTTTTATGGTTGAAGGTCAGCAAATTTCCCGGAGCTGGAATGACTGAAGGTGAAAGTCTGTAGCTTTTGGAGGTAGTTCCTAGGATTCTTATACACACATGCTGTTTATCTACAAGCTACATATTGGTCAGAGTCAGCATTTATAGAAACAATGTCAAAAGAATGGAGGGTGGGTTACAATTCCCCGCTGTTACGATGCCATTCATCACTGCCTGAAACCAGGCACAGCTGGTTTCAGGCTATCATCTTCTTGAAGGCAGAGACAGGGTCTTGTGTACCGGTCTCTCCAGAGCTCAGCCTGGTGCTAGCACATGGTAGTAATAACAGTGTCAACCATAATAATTATACCTAAGACACAGGTACACCTCATTTCATTGCTCTTTGCTTGATTGCACTTCACAGATGTTGTGGGTTTTTTTTTTTTTTTTAACAAATTACAAGGCAAGACCCTCTATCAGCAAAAAGATTATAATTGTTTTTTTTGGATACTCGTTTTAGCACAGTAGTTTAGAACCTAACC